ATCGAAACGGCTGCGGGCGGCACAAATCGGGTGTTAAATGGGGAATAAAGGGGTTAATGGGGAAGAATATTAAAAAATACACCCACCCCCACCCCCCCCCGCGCTAAGGCCCCTGGGTCTGCGCCCTCCAGCCCTCAAGGGGGCGCTGTCACCCCCCCGCCACCACTGAGGCCCTTCTTGCCCCCCTCCGCACCACTGAGTCGGGAGGGCTCAGTGCGCATGCGCGAATGGGGCGGCGCAGCGCCACCTCCGAGCGCCAGGGGGCGCTGTTTCCCTTCAAGCCCCACCGCCGCGAGGCATGCCGGGAGTTGTAGTTGTCCGCCATGTTACTAAGTCGGCCCCGTTGCATGCTGGGAGCTGTAGTTCTGTTATAGACGCCCTCCCCCACCCCGTTGGCCGCAGTGCATGCTGGGAGCTGTAGTTCTGTTATAGACGCCCTCCCCCACCCCGTTGGCCGCAGTGCATGCTGGGAGCTGTAGCTGGGGCTCCCGGTGACCACGCTGCTCTTGGCCGACCACTCCTGCCCAACCCCCCCCCCCCCTTTTGGCCCGTCCTGCCGCGTCCCAAGGCCACCCTTGTGCCCCACCGCCCTCTTCGAGCGCCACAGGGTCTTTTTGGCCCCCTCCAAACCTCGCCTGAAGCCATCAGCCCTCTTCAACCAAGGCTGGAGAACAAAGTCTTTGCCTTTTAGACCACCGATCCTGGCACGCTTGGCTAATATGGCCACCAGCGTGGAGAGGCGCTCAACCCCATGTCCGCCAAGCCATGAAGGCACGTTCACCACCATCATTGCATTAGGCCACCACGGCCATGAAGATGTGTTCACCACCATCAGTGTGTTAGGAAACCACGTCCACCAAGCCATGAAGATGCGCTCAACGCCATTGCTGCGGTGGTGAACCACAGCTGCCAAGCCACGAAGCCGTGCTCAACACCATTGGTGCGTTAGAAAACCACGTCCACCACCATGAAGACACACTCAATACCATGGCCGCGTTGGGAAACCAAGCCATGAAGAGGCGCTCAGCACCACGGTTCTGTTTGGCAACCACATCTGCCACCACGAAGACACATTCAACACCATTGGTGTGTTAGGCGACCGTGGCCACCGAGCCATGACGCTGTACTGACCACCATCGTCGTTGCATTGGGAAATCACATCCGCTGCTGTGAAGATGCGCTCAACACCAGCATTGCGATGGTGAACCACGTCCACTGAGCCACGAAGACGTGCTCAACGCCAGCACTGTGTTGGGAAACTGCGTCCTCCACCATGAAGACGCGCTCAATGCCTTCATCGCGTTGATGAACCACGTCCGTGAAGACACGCGCAACACCAGGGGCAACCACGTCCACCGAGCTGTTGTGCATCCACCTCACCCACGATCGCTATGGTTCTTCTCAGGTCCTTTCTCACCACCCTACGTGAGCTTGTGACCTGTGTGGCCAGGTGACATCAGCTCATAGCAGCTTCACGAGAGAGGGTTTTTTTTTCCCCCCCAAAAAAAACCCACTTCCCGCAGCCCCAGGAGCAGTGGAACGCTCTTCTGGTGGCCTCGACGCGGCCACCGTCACGCCGTGAGGTGCCGGCGCTGCGGCCCCGAGCACCCAACCCCACCAGGAGGGACCCGGCCCCTGCTTGCACCTTCCGTTCCACGGCCCTGCCTGGGCGGCGGCGGTGGCCCGGTAACAACCGGGGTGGGACGGGGTGACCGTGGAGAGCCCCGGACCTCTCCTTCGGGAACTGTACCTGTGGGGTCTTTTATATAGATATATTTATG